TGCTAGTGTAAGTAGCTAAATATATGCTAGTGTAAGTAGCTAAATATGCTGTAGCTAAATATATGCTAGTGCAAGTAGCTAAATATATGCTAGTGCAAGTAGCTAAATATGCTGTAGCTAAATATATGCTAGTGTAAGTAGCTAAATATGCTGTAGCTAAATATATGCTAGTGTAAGTAGCTAAATATGGTGTAGCTAAATATGCTAGTGTAAGCAGCTAAATATATGCTGGTGTAAGTAGCTAAATATGCTGTAGCTAAATATATGCTAGTGCAAGTAGCTAAATATATGCTAGTGCAAGTAGCTAAATATATGCTAGTGTAAGTAGCTAAATATGCTGTAGCTAAATATATGCTAGTGTAAGTAGCTAAATATGCTGTAGCTAATATATGCTAGTGTAAGCAGCTAAATATATGCTAGTGTAAGCAGCTAAATATATGCTAGTGTATAGCTAAATATGCTGTAGCTAAATATATGCTAGTTTAAGTAGCTAAATATGCTGTAGCTAAATATATGCTAGGGTAAGTAGCTAAATATGGTGTAGCTAAATATGCTAGTGCAAGTAGCTAAATATATGCTAGTGTAAGTAGCTAAATATGGTGTAGCTAAATATGCTAGTGTAAGCAGCTAAATATGCTAGTAGATGTAATCTGCAGCCACTTCTTCAGGTCGTCCTCCATCCCTGGTCCTCAACAGGCAGCGGTATGATCATATCGTCCTGTTGGAGCTCTGACAGGTGGTGCTCCTACATGTTTAAATTAAATCCACAATGCTCGGAGAAACTACATTAGCTCATACTGTTCACAAACAAACAAATGCCGGTTTCGTACCGCACTGGAAGTCGCGCCCATAATTCACACAAGGACCAGGAATAAGGTGGATCGATAAGCCCGTTGGCAACGGTGGAGGCGCTCACATCAGAGCACAAGGAAAGGAAAATCAAAATGTAGCGATTAAAAAGATTAAAAAGAGCAAACTGGACGTGAAGGCTGGAAGCAGAGGAAGTTAAAAGGCGCAGGCAGGAAGTCAGGAGGAACTCAGAGGAAGTAGGAAGTGGAGCAGCAGACAAGTCAACCTGTTGTTTTCTAATCCCACCTCGGTGATCGATGACTTGTCCCCCTGGCTGGTGGAAACGGTGACGAGCCGCGCTGCAAAGAGCTTTTTCAGCCTCAGGTAGTCGTCTAGAACCACCTTGAGCAGGGAACCCTGACAGGACAGCACTTTGGATCAAACAAGGCCCGAGGACACGGTCCACCTCACACACCCTAACTGTCAGAACCGACACGTCTTCTACTGAACACGTCCAATTTGGTTTTACTGTGGAGGCGGTGGTTCTGTCACCCACAACATAAAAACACTCGGACTCACCTTGATGGGCCCCTCCCTCATGATCTGGCCCAGTTTAGCGATGTTGTCGTACTCCTGAATGGCTGCTCTCAGGTACCGATCATCCTCGGGCCTCGCTTGAGGCTCTCGACCGAAGGTGCCCTGTGAGGACAAAACACACGCGATCAAGGAATGCCTATCACCCGCCGCCTCGTTCTTTCCGACCAAGAGAAACCGAGGTGGAGCCATATTGGTCAGAACTTGAAAATAACTATGTGCCGTTAGAGTTTGTGTTGTGAGTAACTCTCAGCTACTACCACACCAACTCGGAGCTTTTTAATCTCTAAAACTGACCGAGCTGCAGCCGTTTACAGCGGGCCATAAAAACTGCGGTACTGACGTGAGTGCGCGCCGGGCTGTTCCACAGGTCCGTGATCTCGCTCAGGTTCTCGGGCAGGTCGTCCTCGTGGTCAGCCTGAGCGGCCAGCTCCAGGTTCCGACAGAACGGGTCCAGCCAAACCGGATTAGCTCTGCAAAGGTAAAAAGAATGGCGTGACACCGAATGGGTAGACAATAAAAACACAACAACTCAGGCCCCGTTTACACAAACGCTGTAGTTTCCATGTTGGTCAAGTTGCCAGATAAGAAATGATGAACTATAGCACCGTGGCTTAAAAATGATAGTACTTTGACCTAAACTGTCACATGTGCTGAGTAAAGATATTCTAAGATGAGGTGTGTTGTGTTTGTTGAACATGTGCACAGAAAAGGAGGGGGTAAATAAAACATTTTACATTTATCTGGCAACCCTGATGTAGGCTCAGCTGCATTCAATGAGCATGCAGCGTCTGCATGAGGGTTAACTGGTGAAGACACCAACATCTCTTTGGAGCCTGGAGTTTATTAGTTTTGCTCCTGCAGAACAAAAACACTCTGCTCTCTGCCATTTATTATAAATGTTGTTATATTTATTATAACTGTCATTGTATTTATTATAACTGTTGTTATATTTATTATAACTGTCATTGTATTTATTATAACTGTTGTTATATTTATTATAACTGTCGTTGTATTTATTATAACTGTTGTTATATTTATTATAACTGTTGTTACA